GAGTGAAGTTTTGACTACTCTGTGCAAATTGTCTAAAACAGCCATGAGTTTTAACATTAATCAACAGATTGTAAGTGAAGAAGCTCCAACAATGAAGAGATGACACAAATTTAAAGTGATACATATTCACTATGACTATTCATGTATTTATATGGGGATAATATTGTGACTGAAAATATTGTTGGCCTTGGCAACAGAGGTCAACTCAATGCAAACATTCAAACAGGTTCTTAGCCAGTGTGGGTTACACTAAATGCAGTTGTAAAAAAACTCTAAATTGTCTTTGATTTGATTATGTGTACATGTTGTGCGTTCTTCACTGCATTGCATCGAGGACACAAAGTGTTATCTTCTCATTTTTTAGGTTTAACACAAACTGAAAACAGGGGCAAACAGGGTGGGCCCTTAAAACTATTGATATAAATACAACTACAATTCCTTCTTTCTACACTTGTTTCTGTTTTTAAAATTCACCCTTTTCACTTCCAGGAAAGAAAAAATGCAAACCTGGTGCCACATGCAAATATGCTGCTAGAGTGACTCACAAAGTGACAGGCAAAAATACAAATGAGCTTAAATAAACCACAAGTATATCAGATTTCAATGTATGACCTTAATGCCTTGTAACTCACAGCACGTAGCTTGAGCATTGTTTTTATTACACACATTGCATGTTTGCGGTTATGGTTTTGGCAAAGGTTTTAGTGAGAGTTGCTGAAGTCCAATTACAGTAATTCATGGCCTAAAATAACAAAGATTAAAAGCTTGTGCAATCATCCTGTGCCACTACAGTTTTCTTTATAACATTTTATATAAACCACTACAGTGAAAGGTGAACATACTCAGCATTTTTATTTCTATCATATTTCTATTCTCTTGTCTACCTCATTCTGACTTGTCTGATGCTGTAACAATTGAATTTCACCAGTAGGTGGATCAATAACATGTTTATCTTATCTTAAATGTTCAGTGTGTAAGATTTAGGTGAATGGGATCTATTGGCAGAAATTGAATACAAAATAATGCTAGTGATGTTTTCATTAGTGTGTGATCATCTAAATAGAAAGAATTGTTGTTTCCTTTACCCTAGAACGGCTCCTTTATATTTACATAATCAGGAGCGGGTCCTTTCTATGGAGGCCGCCATGTTTTTTTTTTTACAGTAGATCAGACTGGACGAACTAAACACACTGAACCTTTAAAGTACTTAACTTTAAAGGGCCCATTCTAGGGGAAATTAAACTACATTCATACAGTTTTGATCATTACACACAAGAGAAAACATCATCAGGCTTATTATATATTCAATGTGTGCCTATCGATCCCTTTCACCTGAATCTGGAGCTTTAAAGTGAAGTCACAAACCATCACCCCTGGGAGGAGGCCCGTGTGAGTAGGACCACATTACCCACAATCCAGCGTGAGCGAAAGCGCCGCACCTTCGCCGGGTGGAGCCTGAGCGAGCGTGGGATCGTTGTCGCTGGTATGTGGGAGTGAGGACTGTGTGACAGGGGGGAGGCGAGGGTGAGGAGGACCCGCACACACTCTAACACAGGAGGGGGGGGAGTGAAAGGCAGAAGTGAGTTGTCGGTGTGTTGCTGCTCTCGACGCTGCGCAGGTTCCGGGGTCAGCGCGGGAGCCAGACACTTCAGGTCCGGACGAGCAGCAGCAGCAGCAGCAGCAAAGCAACAGGGCGCCGAGCGACATGTCACGGAGCGATTCAGCCGCGAGAGGTGGGAAGCGCGAGTGGTAGCCCCGCACAACCGCAACGCGGAAAACACCCAGCGGCGGCGAGAGAAATGCGAATGGTGAGAAGAGACCGGAGCCAAACGAAATGGGAACGATGTAGCGTCGCTGCGGCATCTCGCATAGCTAGAACTAACGTTAGAGTAGAGAGCAGATAGCCAAGGAGCTAGCAGGTCAAACTCGCGTACATGTAAAGTTATTCCCCGGGGAGGCTGAAGCGGAGCCCGGGAAGCGTCTGTTGAATCAGAGGAGTTTCACCCGTGAGATAGAAGAAGAGAAAAGCGGAACAAGAAGAAGCAGAAGAAGAAGAAGATGCTGCGGAGAAGACTGAACCGTCTGGTATGTGTCACTAACACAACACACAAACACACTGTTAGCTTCTCACATCCAGCTTCTTCTTGCTAACCTTTTCTTTTTTTTTGACCGCCGCGGTTCTGACGTTAAAATATCGTCCTCTGGTAATTCCAGTCATTTCCTTTTCCTAGCTACGATTACAACAAACTGTTACTTCACACTGACACACAACAGGGAACAGATGTTGTCACACTTCAGGGCTCTTGCTTTTAGTCTGTCACTTTAGCTAACTGCTAACGAGGTAAGTCATTTAACCAGCCAGGGAGTCGTGACAGATGCTAGCTGGACTCAAGAGTCATTAAACCACACTTTCCACAGGGGGTGTAGTACTGCAGGTTTGGTGTCCACAATGGGATCCACCTTCTCTAAAAGACCACTGTGCCTGTCCCCAGAGATGCTGACTGCTTTTCTCTGGGGTCCCACTTGTTCCTTAAAGTTGAGGATTTGCTGTGTCTCAGGGTTTTTGGAGTATTTTCTGGCCAATTTAAGACTTTTAAGAGCCATTAATCGAGCAATGAAAATAAAACATCACAAGTAGGGTCCAGCTTCATTTGCAGAAAATAACAACAGCAGTTACCTTGATAGAACAAAGGATATGTACATTAACCTACATTCTTAAAACACAAGTGACGGTTCTTCAACATAGTTTTGATCTGGTATTAACTTTCACATTTAGCTGACTGGTGAATCAAAGAGTTTCTCAGTCTTACTCCTTTTCGGTTCCTTTTAGTCCTGATGTTACTGTAGGTTCAGCCACTGGATTTGCTCAGTAAAAGAAGTTGGTCTTTATCCAACACAAACGGCTTTGACATCATGTTTCACGTTTGGTCAGTTTAATGCTTACCCCTGTAAAGTTCATCCATTGGTTTTTATTGCCCCTCATAGATTAATCAGTAAGGAGTGAGCTAGTTGAAAGGAGTAACTATCTGCACAGCCAGGTTCATAACTGCTGAACTGCCTTTACTGCCTCTTTATCATGCTCTCATGCACCAGTAACCTGTTGTCACCGGTGGGCTGAATCCCCCACAGACTATCTGAGAAGTATAGATACTGACAGTCAATAAGGAGGAGCAATATAATAATTGCAGTGCCTGACCCTCCTCCCGGTCCCTCTCTTGTGTTGCCAGGTCAGCTGATTTTTCTGCTTGTGGAGAGAATTGCTGCTGTAATTTCTCCTCAGTGTGAGCTGTAAATAATATTTTGTGCAGAGCAGCCAGCCACGCTGTCATTGATGCACACGGTACCGTTATCTCTTGCTCTGCCTCTTTGCCTCCTGACTCACACCCCCCCTCCCCTTGCCCATGGGAGGTACATGTGCATATGAAGAGGGAGAGACACTAGAGACTGTGAGGGAATGAGAGCTACATACAAGGCTACAATGAGGCTTCACGTGATTCGCTTGACTCTCCCACTATGGTACACTGTGCCACTAAATCCTGAGTGTGTCTTTGGGAAAAAAAATCATTAAAGATGGCTGTGGGAATGAGTGGGGTTGGGCTCCGCGTCAGGGGGGATTCTCCAGAGGTTGTAATGCTCTGACAGGAATGCAAAATCACACAGTTGCCTTTGATGTTCGTTCAAGCCCTTGAAGGCAGCAGTGTGATCTGTGAGAGGTGGAGCCTGGTGAAAATTTGATTGTGTTCATTGTGGGAGCCCTGCCTCAGCTGCAAGGAGAACAGTACCAACGCCTGAAAACACCTCTGCCCAGGCAGCATGGTGGTGTTTTTTTTATTTGCACCATGGTAACTGATAAAACCCCTCCTACTCACAAGGAATCACACACGGAAGGTCAGCTTCATATTTTGACTCTGTTTTAGAACTGATACAAAGCCACCTTCTGCTTAATAGTACACAAGTACAAGTACACCCAGCCCTACACAGCCCAGTGGGGGAGGTGGGAGGCTCAACAAGTCTGTGTGAACTAAGTAAATGGTCATTCTGAAAGCCTTGTGGTTGGATTTTATGATAATAGAGCAATGTTCTAAAACAATTGGTAATTTGACGAACCTAATATTTTCGTTATCATTTAACATTTTAGGTTTTTTTTAGTACCCAATGTCAAACATTGTGAGGATTCGCTGCCTTTTTTCGTGGTAGTAAACTAATTAAACTTTATTTTTGGACTATGTATTCACAGATCGATTAATCTTGGAAGAAATCAACATATGAATTGGTGCTCAAAATAATCATTAGTTGCTGGCAACAACTAAATAATAAATACTAATTTGACCTAATTTAACTGACAAGTTTCAAAAAAAATATTATTGGCAAGTTATTTTTGTGGATGTTTTAATGTTTGCATTTTTCATTTCCTCTGAGGTGTAACATGTCAGGGTTGTTTGTTTGCAATAGTTTTTTTCTTGTGTCCTGCTGACATCTGAAGTGTCTTATTCAAAGGAGGTGGGGATTCCCCACATAATTCACCTTCATAGTAAAGCCTAAAATGTTTTCTGCCTCTGCTCCGGGTGCAGCACCACTTTGGTCTTCCTCTTTCTTACTGGCATTACCTCTCACCCTTATCTCTCTCTCTAACCTAATCTATTTATCCTGCTGCAGGCTGATGCACTGAGGTTTGCCAGACTTAGATCGGTCTCTACTTGACTGTGACCAGAGCACAAGTAATAAACAGGCCCCCACCAGGCAGGAAATGTTATGTGTGAGCGTGTTTGAAGGATCACATGTTAAATGCATTTGGAAACCCCAGGGATCAGTAAACCTGTTTCTCATGTCAGCTAACGGCATCCACAAGACTGGTAAACACAAACCTGTGTAAACCTGCATGTGCTCACCAGTGTACAGGCAAAGTTGACATGCACGCAGACCATCACACATGCACACCTTTTCTCTTAATGCTTATTTTGTAAGAGCATCTTTAGTTTATATATACAGTACAATATATTTTATAAGACTTTGGCTACATCCACACTGCTATTTTTTACTTTCAAAATGTATCATTGTTTGAATTTGTACACCTGTCATCAACATGACCCTGTGGCTTTCAAGCGCCTAATAGCAAATGCAGCTTAGCCCGTTTTAGTTTTAAAACCCTGGGCTGAATTGTCATATATTGTCACAGTATACCTAGTTGTCAGTCCAAGAAGAGAAATCCCTCGTCTTATTTTGCATAGTAGACAATCTGCTTCCTGTTTACACTGGCATGCACATGCCCAGTATATGAAGTAGTAAAAGATCATGTGATGTGTTTTTTCAGGTGTGTTAATAAAGACTCTGATTATTAGTGATTGGACGCTAAAATGAAAAGTGTTTTTTGGTATGGATTTAACCTTTATTTAGTGTCACTCCTCCTGAGGTATACTAGTGTTTTGTTCAGCAATAAAAATGTTTTTTTACTTGCTCCATTACATTACAGTACTTTCACTGGCAAGTATTTAGGTAATGAGTCTAATATGTGGCATTATTTCCACTTCAAATGCGCAGTCACTTGAGCTTTTAGCATCACTGTATTTTTGGCTATGTTGTATTATCTCCCCTGCGGTTAGTTGCACCTGTTGGAAACACAATTTAATCAACTGCTGAGATACCAGAGCCCTCAAACAGAGTTGTCACCCTTGGGTGAGCCATTAGGGTTAGAGTGCATCTGAATGCCACACACCATACAAGGCATGTAGGTCTGTTTGATTTATCAGGCCTGTTTGATTAGGAGAGATGTGTATTGATCAGAGCTGTGCTCCGTTTTGCCACCATTAGTCTTGCCCTTGAACTGCTGGCCAACAGAATTGCTCACGCTGATTTTTTTCTCTTCCTTCCTCTTCCGTCCACTCCCTGTCTGGTCTCCTGCACTATATGGAATGGTAACCCAGCCAAAGGAGCCCATCTGCAACACACAGCAGGGTAATAAATATATTAGTATTGTGAGGGAGGCAGTGTGAAGGGAAAAAAGACTGGCTGTGGGATAGCGAGGTGATGAAATTTACTGGGGGAGTCCAGAAAGCCCTGCGTGATTCAAACATGAGACACTCGAGTGAAACCAGAAGGGTCGCTTTCTCCATCTTACGCGCACTCTCAGCCTTCTTGTAGTGATTAACATAAGAGTGTGTGGTTCCTGGTTGGATACAGGGGGACCAAGGAAGGCTTTTTGTGGCAATTTTCCACTTCCATTAAAACCTAAGTTGAATTCTCAGTTTGTACCTCTAAATAATTCAGGTTGCCTCATTTATTTTGAATTCTCCTCACATCGCTCCTCCTTTTCCTGACTCACGTATCCTTGCCAGACTAGTGGCATTCAAAATGCATCCTTGTCATCCATATATGTATAAAGGCTCAACCACATATTTTCTCGGCCATGCTCCAGCTCTAGCATTTCTTACAGCATTCGCAGTGAGATGTGATGAGAATGCTGAGATGTGTGGAGGGATGTTTTTTTTCTTTGTCTGTGTGTCACCCTCTGTGTCTGAGTGTGGAGGCATGATAAGGAGATGGCAGCATCTGTGACGTTTGGTCCTCCCAGTTTTTTTATTGTCACCTGAAATGATAGAGTACTTGCTGACACAATGAAAAGGAACAGCAAAGTCCAGTAAGTGTGAGGATTTAACAAGCACGGAAAAGTCATGTGAACATTCCCCCAGCCACACACGCTCACTGAACACCCAGGTTAAGCAACAGTCTACAATAATTATCTCTGTGGCAAGCTCCTAGCGAGTCAGCAGGCAGTGTTGTTCAGTCACAGGGAGAAAAATGGCTCCTTTTAATGTGGTCACAGTTAAGTGGGAGGAAATGCTTGGTGAGAAAACACAAACTGAAATCAAACATGCCCTCTTAGCAGAAGAAGGAAAGAGCCACATTGATTTTTGTCATTAGTCTTGTTGCCCCTATATGCAATGTCTAAGGATAATTAATTGAATAGCAGTTACGGCCAATGTAGCCGGGTACATTATTAAAGATAATGTCATCAGTGGGGCAGTAGCTGAGATAGAAGTTTTTAAAGCTTGTCAGCATTAGGGTCCGCTGTTAACTTCCTTTTTCTT